GCCCCGGGGCGCTGCCGGCGTCGCGGCAGACGGAGGCGAAGGGCCGGGTGTCAAGGCGGAGCCAGGCGGGGTCGGAGCACCATTTGGTGGCCAGGCGGATGGACCTGCGGCAGAGGGGGGGAAGCTCGGGGCTAGCCCCCCGCCAGCCTGGGGGGCAGATCCTGGGGGCCAGCCGCCCCCCCCGGGCACTCACCAGTCGATGTCGATGCCGGCGGCGATCAGCAGACTGCGCAGGGCGAGGGAGCTGAGCAGCAGGGCCAGCGCGATGGCGACGAAGAAGCCCGAAGTGCAGGCGGCCAGGGCGCGAGCCTGCAGCCCCCAGCCAAGGGCTGCCCCTGGACGGCGAGGCCAGGCAGGTTGGGGTACCCCGATGGATTGGGGGGGCTGGAGGGAAGGGGAGGGTGCCCAAAACGCCCTGGCCCGGGGTGGGTGTTGGACTCCAGCTGGAGGGACCCAATGTCCCCCCGCAAGCCCCACTCACCTGCCAGGATGCCGCCGACCACCTGATGGGGGAAATGGGCCAGGACGAAGACCCGCGAGAGCCCCACGGCCAGCAGGAGCAGGGCGTAGGCGGTGAAGGGGCTCAGCTTCGCTGCCAGGCTGGAAGGCAAGGAGGGTCAGCGGCGGGGAGGCAGCCAGCGGGTCCGGCTCGGGGCTCCCGAGCGTATTCTGCCAAGCAGAGCAGGTTTGGCCCCACTCGGCAGGAGGAAGGAGCAAAGTGCAGGCAAAAAAGCAACTCGGTGGGGCAGGGGAGGCTTTGCGGGGGTCTCCAGGGCTTCGCAGCCTCTCCCTGCAGCAGCCAGAGCTGCCAAGGGAGAGCTTTGTTTCCCAGGAGCTGGGGGAGAGGAAGGCACCCTTCCCACCCCACCGTGGCTGCTGCCTGCTGGGGAAGGGTCCCGCATCACACCCCCCTCTTCCAAAAGGTGCTCTGGAGATTCCCAAGCACCAGCTTCCCTGGCCCGGGACTCACCTCCTGGAACGTCTGGACACTAGCGTCGTCAGAGCGGTGACGAGCGGCCAGAGGGCTGCCCCCGTGATCATGCAGTGGCCGGAGGGGCTCCCTACGAAGGGGAAGCACGGGACACTCGACACGGTGGGTCGGGGGGGAGCGCGTCCCAGCAGGGCGAGCACCCGAGGTCACCCGGGAGAGCTGGGGACACATCTGCTGAGCCCAGCCCTCACGGCTGGGCAGCCCTGCCTGCGCCCTGCGTTCCCTCCTGGCTGACAGCCACGGCCAGCACGGAGGGCTCGGCTCAAGGATGAGGATGGAGCAAGCCAGTGCCCGCGGATGATGGTCACCTGCCCAAAAAAACAGGCAGGGACGCGGGCTCTGCGGGCAGGGGAAGCCAGGCGGAAAGGGCGAGCGAGGCGCCCTGGCCCCTGCCACCAGCAGACTCTCCTGTAGGTTTCCTGGCCCCGGAGCCGCCTGTGCCGCGCGCGCCGTGCCAGCAGCCATGGCACCCAGCCTGCTCCCTGCCGCTCGCTCCTTTGCTCTGCTGCGAGGCGCTGGCTGACGAACGGCTTTCCCGCTCGGCACGTCCTGCCAGCCCAGCGGCACCCTCCAGCCGCAGCGTTCCCACCCGGACAGGGCCTCCCGGCTCCTGCAGCCCTTCCCTACAGATCCCAGGGTCTGCCGACGATGCAAGGAAAAGCTTTCGCCCGTTACTCACCCGGTCCCGTTTCGCAGGAGACAGGGAACTGGCGCAGCGTGACCAGCTCCCTGCTGGCCAGCCCCGACTCATGGACCCACCAGAACGGGCGCTCCCCGAACAAGAACCTGGTGGGGAGAGAAACCACAGAGCAGTGAACGGCCAAACGCAGCCCAACGCCTTCCCTGCCCATCCCTGTGGATCCAAGGGCTGAAGCGGGCAGCGGGAGGGCAGGATCCCTGCCAGTTCTTACAGCCCCCGGGCGTTTTTCTGCTGTGAATGCCTGGCAGATGCGTTACCGCGGCTCGGGTGACCTGCAGAAACTCTGCGCGCTTTCAGCGTGGCGCAGGCAAGGAGCAGCACTCGTCTCTGCCCGCCGAATGGAGCCCGCAGTTGTGTTTCTGCTATTGTGAACGTGCCACCGCTCAGCCCCCGGGGTGCCACCGGGTGTGACAGGAACCCTGTGACTCCAGGCTCTCCCCTCACCATTTGAGGACCACGTTGAGCCACTCTGACACCAGGCCGATCCACAGCACCGACACCCCCACCTTGCGGTCGAGAAAATAGGCGAGAGGGAAACAGACGGTGAAGATGGATTTGGGATCAGCCAGGGAGGTCACTGAGATCCAGAACTTTTCCAGCCAGGGCGGCCCGGACTGCAGCGCCTCTGCGAAGTGGATCCCGGCGATGTGCAGGGCATCCATCGTGCCGGGCTGGAGGGAGAGAGGGAGCGTCAGAGCTCAGGCCTCAGCAGAGTCCACTTGACAGGCAGAGACCTTGGGAAAGGGGCGGGAGGTGGCTCCCGCGCCCGGTGTGACCCTGAGGGACGCCTCGGCGCGCGATGCCAGCGCTGGCACGGCTTCAGGGAGCTGTTCGCCACCTGAAGTTTGCCCGCGAAGGACTCCCAACCTTTGCCTCCCGCCCCCAGCTTGGCAGCTCCCGGTGCTGCAGATAGCCGCGGTGGGGATGGCGGTGCCGGGCAGCATCGGCACGTGCATGGGGCTGTCTGCTGAGGGCCAGCGTCCGGCATGGCCCCGACCGACGGGCGCTCTGGGCTGACCCAGCGCGGGCACATCCCAGGGGCTGTGATGTGGGGTTCAGCGGAGCAGCCAGGCTGCCCTGAAGAGCCCTGGCCTCCCTGGGGCTGACACGGGGCCTCCCTGGGGCCTCCACGGAGTGGGCCTGGCACAGGCCTGGGGCCTCCCTGGGGTCTCCCTGGACGAGGCCCAGGGCTGCTTCCCCAGGCCAGGCCTGGGGTCTCCGCAGAGCAGGCCTGGGGCTTCCCTGGGGTCTCCCTGGAGCAGGTCTGGGGTCTCCCTGGCCCAGGCCCGGGGCTTCCCTAGGCCAGGCCTAGGGTCTCCCTGGCCCAGGCCTGGAGCCTCCCTGGGGTCTCCCTGGAGCAGGTCCGGGGTCTCCCTGGGGTCCCCCAGGCCTGGTGCCTCCCTAGGGTCTCCCTGGCCCAGGCCCGGGGCCTCCCTAGGCCAGGTCTGGAGCCTCCCTGCATCCACCCGGGGCCGCTGGGGCGGCCTGGCCCTGCCGGGGGTACCCGAGGCGCCTCCCCCAGCCACAGCGGGGCCGCGGGGTGCCCGAGGCGGGGGGCCCTGTCC